CTGCGTGGTCTCCTGCGGGACTCTCCCGCCACCACTTCTCACCATCTTCAGGGTTGCAGCTCGCTCACTCTCTCAGTCTCCTGGTTCCAAGAGCTTCTCAGCACAAGGATCCTGGGTCCAAAGGATGTACTCTCTGCTCCTGGCTGTTCTTCCTTGGTAGTGGTAGGATCCTCTCCATCCCACCTCTGGGATGGCTCATTTCAAGCCCAGAGGGATGCTAAAAACTGACAAATTCCCTTAGTGCGATACAATTATCCAATCTGCACAGTCCCGCCCAATCACCTGGTGGGAGTCACAAGACCATGGCGAGAAAGGCCACACAAAAGCAATCTATCACACTGCACTAACCATATTCAAAATGATGCATATTTACTTCCATGTCTGGAACTTAAATTATTAAACACACCTTCTGCAAAGATTTGTTTCCTCTTTCGACCAGCTGGAACCATGTTAGGCCAGCAACCCGGTTTCTATCATGAAGATGGTGAATACTCTAGAAGTCTCAGGGGTGGCAATGCAACAAGGTGGAAGGTAACTGGGCCCCTAAATAATCATGTAAAGCAAATCTGCCCATCTGGATGATGCACAACACAGATCGTTACATAAGAAAAAAATAAAACTTTTTGTTCTATAAGCCACTACACTGTTGAGTTTGTCTTCACCTTAATACACCATTAATCCCTGACTAGCATTTAAACCAACTGACTTTCATTTTAATACATCATTAAAAAAATTAAATCTGCTATATAATAATGTATAAAATAATACACCATTAATCCCTGACTAGCGTTTAAATCAATTGACTTTCATATTAATATCACATCATTAAAAAAATTAAATGTGCTATATAATAATGTATAAAATACATACCATTGATCATACCCTAATTCAAGTATTTTAAGTTACTTGAAATACCTGATTTAGGAATAGTGAAAGTAGTAGCTAAAAGCTAAAAGGTATGGATATTGAGAAGCTAATTTAACCACTGCTATAATACTGGATATATTTAAACAATCTGAAAACAGCCAATTCAAAGGACAATAATTAAAGATGGCAGAAAAACCAAAAAACCAAATCCACTGCCGTCGAATCAATTCCGATTCACTGTAACCCTACAGGACAAAGTAGAACTGTCCCATAGGGTTTCCAAGGCTATAAATCTTTACAGAAGCAGACTGCCGCATCTTTCTCCCAAAGATGGCAGAGGATCTCAGATACAAGCCACTACACTGTTTTTCAGAAAACTTTTTCAGAAAAAAATTTGCCTCAAAAATCAAGACTGGAATACTATTCAGCAAGAAAAAGAAACAACGTACTGATACACGCTACAACATGAAAGAACGTCAAGGTCATTATGCTACGTGAAAGAAACCAGACTCAAAAAAACCACATATTATATGATTTCATTTATATGAAATGTCCAGAAAAGGCAAATGTATAGAGATAGAACTACCACTCGTCTGTCAGTAGATTAAGACTGGAGGCAGAGGGATGGGGACTGATTACTAATGGGCTGAGGGTTTCTTTCTGGGGTGATGGAAATGTTCTGAAATTAGACTGTGGTGCTGGTGGCACAACTCTGTAAATATACTGAAAACCACTGAACTATACATTATTTAAGAATCAAAATAATTGAGGCTGATATGGGTTATGGCTTTTTTGGATGCCTGCTTTTTTTATACCTGCAACTGAGTAATGATGGGTACAAATACAGAGCCAATCTGTATTCTTGAACCCAATTAAAAGCATTTTAAATAAACAAAATGAACAAAGGATATAAACAGTACTGCGCAGAAGAATGACCAGGGGATCAGTGCCAGGCCATCAACAGTTAAACAGGCTGCATCAAGATAAGGAGCTTGTACAAAATGTCAATCAACTACACATCACTAAGCACACTGTTTGGTTGACATAACACATTTTGTCATAGCAATACTTTCTCAATGAAGGAAACTGAAGGTCTCTACCAATCATTCCCAGTATAATGTCCATTATAAAAATTTAAAAAGAAAATGTAGATGATACATCATACAAGTCTTTCAAATATTCGATAATTTACATACTACCTCAAAAAGAAGACCTCTTGTACTACTATATTAAGATTTTTTTTTTTTAATTCACACCCATAGGATGCATTTAAAGCAAGTACCAAGAAATGTCATGGATTCCATAAGCCACACAACTAAGAGACGTTTGAAAGTTTCTGAGTTGTTCTAGCTGCCCAGCAGGCCTGCCTGATTAGGTTAGAGATGATAATTTGGAGGTACAATGCAAAAGTCCTAAAAAATTAGAAGCACACTGACTAGTAACAAAAAAGAACTCTCTCTCCTGGCAAGTATATTATTTATCCCCAGAAATAAGCAACTACCAGCAAACGTATTTCTATAAGTCCGAATTTGTTATACATTAAAAATGTATTACTTTTAGAATCAGGGAAAATGCTATGAATTCCACCCCTCTTAGATGACACTATTCATATTTTGGTCCTTCCTTGGTGATTCTCTGGTTCAATATTATAAAAAATGAATAAATAATAGATTAAAAAATAAAATAATAGCTACTTACATTTATTGAGAACCTACTATGTATCAAGTATCACTGTCTTTTTATCACTACTCTATCTACTATAGAATATCACTGAAAAATCACCTCCAAGTACTTCATCTTCCCAGAGAGTCTGCCCTAATACAAAAATAGTAGCAGGGAAGAGGTATCCTCCAAGATTAGTGACTATCATCAAGATTTACGAGTTGCCATAAAAACTTCTGCTGAAGAGCTCTTCTGGGCACCAAGGCCACAGTCTCCTACAAGTTCTGCTTCATTAATCCCCTGACCTCAGTCTACCACTTTCTCAGTCTCAGTCTGTTAGAATAAGCTTTTGTCTTGTCTGCAGCACTTAACTCCTTTTAACCTGAACAGGATACAGAATCTGAGACTGTTTAAATCTCAGCTAATACTCAACTGGATCAAAGTATGGCCTGATATATATGAGTACTTTCACAGACTAAAGGGCTACTATTCTGCCATTCCTATTCTCCCAATCATCTATTCTTCCATTTGACTTCAAGATGATCAGAGTATAAATCTCAAAGGCCACATTTCAGGGTATTCTTGATCTTACGGACTTAGTACATGTTATCAAATGGGCTTATTTCATAAGTCATCTTCTATCTTACCTCTAACCTTTCTGGCTCATAATAAAGTAAAGACTGACATTCTACCTTGGAAAAACCACCAAATCTAGGCACAAGTAATAGAAGAAATATGTAAAGAATAGAGAGAAAGGAGTTATAATAACTATACAAAATAATGAGTTATTTAATTGAATGTAAAATTTAGCTGAATGTTCTAATAGTCAAGCTAGGCACATAGTATAAGATTTTACTGCAGCTATTTTAATATTTGGTATACCTGCTTTAAAAGTTGAAATTTTTAAAAATTGGTTACTTAATCAAATAGAGAAAGTACGAATGGTTAACATGCTCAGTGCCAAAAGGCTGAAGGTTCAAATCCACCCAGAAGCAACTTGAAAGAAAGGCCTGGCAATCTACTTCCAAAAAATCAGCCACTGAAAACTCTACGAAGCACGTGGGGTTGCCATGAGTCAATTCAACAGCAAATGGTTTACAGTCTACTATAGGATACTAAAAGAGCCCTGGTGGCACAGTGGTTAAAGAGATCGACTGCAACCAAAAGGTCGGCGGTTCAAAACCATCAGCAGCTCTGCAGGATAAAGATGTGGCAGTCTGCTTCCATAGAGATTTACAGCCTTGGAAACCCTTACAGCGTCGCTATGAGTCAGAATCAACTTGACAGCAGTAGGTTTGGTTTGGATGGGCAGGATACTAAGTTCTCCAACAGTAACGCTGGGGAAATAACTGCTGATTTTTAACTAAAAGGGTTAACAGTAATAAAGAGAGAAGTGAATACTTCAGCAGATATTTATAAGGAGATGTACACATGCACACATTGTTTGATATTATGTTTACCCTCTAAGTCAAAAGTGCAATTCTCAAACAAATAAAACATGGCAACAGAAATATTTTCAGAATTTAAACTCTACTTGTATATCATCTCTGCTCAGATATGCAGTACACTCCAGTGGAACATAAAAATGGTTGAGAATCACTTCACTAATGGTTCAGTGAATAATTATTAAATAATTGCTCTAGGCCTTGCTGGACAAAAGAATAATGAAATAAGACCCCACCCTCAAGGAACAACCGCTCACTCCTGTCAATAGACATAAGCAAAGCCAACTAGCTATAATGTGAAATTGTGATAAAAATAATCATAATCTGTTAAGTGTTGTCTAAACTAACAGCTTATGTTTGTGTATGAAAATATTAAATAAACAAGTTAATGACTAGGTAATCTCTTTTTTTACTGCTCTCAGCTTCTAACTTAAAAGCATTTGCATCTCTAATGCGGCCATACTGTTTTCTACTTGTATCTCTCTTCTTAGCACAAAAAATTGACAATTTTAATTAGGTGATTTTTTAGGATAACTCACAGCATTTCTCACATGAAGTTTTCAAAATTTTAGGTAATACTACGTCTTACTTCGCTAATTCTGCTTTTTTGAAAAGTAATTTTGATGATTCTATTTTCCCTTTACTCAGTGTTTATCATTTAAAATGTTTACCACTTTACTCAGTGTTTATCATCATTTATTTCTATAAATACCATTTTATTTCCAAACCAGAAAAAAATTATTATGTATTCTACAATTAGATGTAAAACATCTGGAAATAGTTGTCAGGGACTACCTCATCAAGCCTGGTACCAAAAGTCTACAAGTATTTTAACCATTTTACAACATAAAAGAAGCTGTGGCAGAAGGTTAACAGGAACTGACCTATTCTTGTATAAATGTCTGTCTAAATGCTACTTTTTTCAATAGCTGGTTTTTACCTACTTTAATTGGTTCAGTTCTTGGCAAAGGTGGGTTTCAGGAAATATATTATCAGCTCCCATCAGTTACATAAGACACAACTAACCTTTTGCTCTGCTTGTAGTTGGTCACATTTTTCTTTCTCCTGATTAAGTTCACTTTCCATTCTTCCAACTTGTTCTCGAAGTTGTGTTGTTTCTTTTTCCAGAACAACAATTAGCTTTAATAGTTCTTCTTTTTCTTTCATGGTTTTCTCAATTTTGAACTGTAAAACAAAAAACTCAAATTATTTTTTATATCCTAAAATATTTTACTACAAATTCCATAAAACAATAGTTAAGAAATTCACAGAATGAATTTTTACATCCTACATACTTCATTATCAAGCAATGTCTTTTAGCCTTTGGTTGGAAAAATTCACAAATTATAAATTTCAACCTACTTTTGGTTAGGCAAAGAAGGAAATGTTAAAAGAAAAGTATAAAATGGGTGAAATTACAAGTTGCCTATAATCACTTTCCAGATCAACACTAAACAGAGCATATTAAGTTTCATAAGTAACTTAATTAGCAGGTTTTTCTTATCCTAATAATCAGAGACTTCAAAAGGAAAATCTCAATCTCTCACTGAATATTAAATCCATGGGAAATCTTTCAATCTATGGGAAATCTTTCAATCTATTAAGAACTTACTCATGTATTACATAAAGCCTCCATACATGGGATTCCTATTAAAAGTTTTAGTCCTTTAAATAAGGTACTAAGAAAGAAATAGGTTATACACACACACACATATTGGCCTCTATTTGAAAATTAATACAAACTTCATAAATAAAAATAATGAGGACTCAAAGGAAAGGCTTCACAAGGGAGGTACCTTTAGCTGGGAAAGTTTAAACATTTTCTTAATAATACAACCCAAATCAGTTCCCCAGGGCCATCGAATCATGGAACCAAACTGATTAAAGTGGCTCTGATAAAAGCTGAAATGCTAATTTTTTTTTTTTAGAATGATCCTTCTACCTGTTCCATCAGACTTAATGAAAATACCAGAATTGAATACTCTCCAAGGGAAAAAGTTTATTTAGTCACTGCACTTAATAGCTTACCTTTAAAGAAAAAAAAAAAAAAAAAATTTAAGTAGATTGCATATCCACCTCACACTGAATATTATATACTCAATAAAGTCAACAGAAAATTAGGAGCAAGCAAATACATTAAGCATAAGGGTTAATATCGTTATTAATTTAGCATTAACTCTGGCTGTGAAGTTTCTGGCAGCCTAAAAATGATGACACATCTTGACATAAAGGAATAGAAACGTTACAGAAGAGTCAATTTTTTCCAGTGACTTATTTCACATATACTTATCAAGAATTTACTGAAACTTAAATAGAAATAAAAAAGGAACTCAAATTAGAAAATGTATACAAGTCTAATTGTTCCTCTCAACTTTGTATTTTATAATCTTTCAAGCATAGTTAAAATTTTACAACACCCATATACTCTTCAACTAAATTCACTAATTATTAATACTTTACCATGCTTATTTTACTTCACCTTAAATACCTGATTTATTTATGTAATTTATTTATTTAGTTTTTTGCTAAACCATATGAAATGAAATTGCAGACACTTCATCCCTAAATACTGCAGATCAAGTTACATCCTAATAAGGACAGTTTCCTATTCAACCATTGTTATAACTAAAAAAATTAACAATAATCCATAATATCTAATAGTCGGCTTTTTCTCAAATCTAGGATCCAATCAAAGTTTACACATCGCGTTTGATTGTTATATATCATTAATCACTTTTAATGTCAACAGTGTCCCAGATAGTCTCACATATGTACTAATTTTGTGCAGTTTTAGACAAAATCATTAAAAGACTTTGATGATTATGGACTTGTCAAAAAACTGTTCAAGAAAATAAAAGTATCTTATCTCAGAAATATTTACCTAAGACACAGCGATTTAATTTTTTCTTTGTAAAGCATCCTTTATGGAATAGGAAGAACTGTAACAGACTGTGCTACATCAATGTCCCAATTTACTTAAAGAAGAATCACAAGAGAGATGTGGATGCCAAAATGTTTTTCTGTTGGAGGCCCTGAAATCAGGGTGGTCTAGCAAGTATTCAAAAAGCTGCAGTATAAACACTAACTGCATTCTTTTTAAGAGCCGGGCTTGTTTCAGTATCTTTGACTAACGTTCAAATACCAGGCTAAAACCCTTGATCACCAGACAGTTGTCACCACAAAATGTTTTAGTCACCCTATAAAAGTTACATTTCTTTAAGATAAGGGAGGAATTTCTGGAAAGGAAAAGCGATGATATGGAAGAATTCACAATAAAAAATTACTGGTTCCTACTAACTTTCTTAGTTTGACTGTATTATATCTAGAACATCTTATCTTTTTTCTCTATTCTCATTTCTTACAGGTAAATAAAAGATGTAAAATATTTACATGTAAAAAAAATCCATCTGACTATAAAGAAAAGCAATGACCCATTACAGACCAAATATGAATATAAATTAACTAAAAATATATACTGAATCAATTAAAGGAGCCATTTTTCGTATTATTACAACAGAAGACACTACATATAATTAAGAGCTATGGCTGCTAATGAAAAGGTCAGCAGTTCGAATCCACTAGCCACTCACTGGAAACCCTATGGGGCAGTTCTATTCTGTCCTATCGAGTCACTGTGAGTTGGAATCAACTCGACAGCAACAGGTTTTGTTTTTTTTTTTGTTTTCTTTGCTAACTCAAATTTAACATTCTATTTTTTTAGATATAGGGTAAAGATGCTGGGAAATGTTATCCTGAAATGATAAAAGAACGTTGCTCTATATTCTCCTTCAAAGACTGCTAAAAATTCATACATAAGGCATTATTATTAGACCATCTACAGTTAATTTATATTTGAGCCAATATCACACCCCCACAATACTTGGGGAAAAAAAAACCAGTAAAGAGTTTTTCACCTTTTCTTTTTGTTATTATGGTTAGTCCCACTTTATTCATCTGACTGGACAAAGAAAAGAATCATTCTAAAAATGCTCAACCTAAATTAAGACACTGCCACACTTGAGACAGACATGTTCATGGTGTGAAGTTCACATCCAATTACATTTTAATATATCACCTTAGGCCACTTTCCCAGTCAAGATTCATCCCCCAGTTCTGTACTATTCTACAATCAATAGATTAGGCTCCCAACGAAGAAGGAAAGTTAGGAAAGTTTTAGGTTTAAGTGCTTTCAATAGATATTTACTGTGTTATCTATTATGCACAAAATATTGACAGGCCCTAGGAATAGTACCTGCCACAGCAGAATCAATAACATAACTGTTACCGAAAGATTTTTAAATTATTTCAAAAAAGACACTCTAAGTTTTCTATTTTAGTTAAAAGTCATTTAATCTTTGTGGAAGCTCTTTTATAACCTGAAAATTCTTAACATGACAACCAACATGAACTCTGTTCTCAAAATTGTCAATGTTCTCAAAATGTTCATTGATAATTGTTGATACCAACCTCAAGAAGGCCAGCTTTTGTGGTCATCACCAACATGTCAGAATTTCCTTCATCTTCCATAGTAAGCAATTCTTCAACTGGAGAAGAAGCTCGAAACTGGAAAGGTGTACTTGCTGCACGTATTTCACCCTTATGGGTAACATAACAGAACTGATAAAATTCTCCATCATCATTTGGAAGGTAATATCCTAAAGAAAAAGTTAACAACAACAAAAAATTATTAAACTTCCTATTAAAAAGAGTCCTGGTGGCGCAGTAGTTCAGCACCTGGCTGCTAACAGAAAGCTCCGTGGTTCAAATCCACCAGCTGCTCTGCAGGAAAAAGATGTGGCAGTCTTGGAAACCCTATGGGGTAGTTCTACCCTGTCCTATAGGGTTGCTATTATGACTCCAAACCAACTCAAGGACAATGGGTTGGGTTTTTTTCTTTTTTCTTTTTTTTTTTTTTTTTGTGTGTGTGTGTGTTTTAAAATAAATATTATTTTAATTTAATTTACCAATACTTAGCATCTCCTATCATTCCTGACACTCTTCTTGGTGCTTAGGATATGGCCTTCTGCCCATCTTTCATAAATTATCTATCAAAACACACTCTCTCCTTCTTTTCCAAACATACCCAAATTCTTCTTCTCTTAGGCCTAAGCTTATACTCCAGAAATATTCTTTTCCCTTGTATATTCACTAGGACAAAATAAACTCATCTGGGAAAGACAAGTATATAGTTTTCAAGAGGAAAGAGGCTGGGGCAAGGGAAAAATCAGAATAAGAATCTAGGAAGACGGTATTGGGGATGGGGGTGATATGTCATTTAATGACATCTTCCCTCCAATGTAACACTCATTAACATGTAAAAGTGAGTTATTAACAAAGGGAATATGGTGCACATGTAAACTGTGTGAAACAGAAAAGAATCAGGTCTACTGGTGCAAAAGAGTAAAATGAGCTTTGGAACTACACAGATCTAAGCTGAAATTCCAGTTCTATCACTATTATTTACTTAACCTCCCTGAGGTGCAGTTTCTTATCTATAAAGAAGAGATGAAGCCATCTGTCTATATCATCTGGCGTACTACCTGACAAACATTGTATGTTTGGTATTTGTTCCCTTCTTTAACTACTCTTCAATACACACAGCTCAATTGTTACCGGTTTTTAAATTTTGCTTGAGTATCCTAGCTCAAAATTAATCTTTACTTCCTCTCCAAAGCTCCCACTGTATTTTTTACATAAAAGAAAAAAAAAAACCAGCATATACTTTGCTTTACTATTAATTATGTACACACTTTATTATCACACCTCAAAAACACTAAGATATATATATATATACACACACACGTACATACATATATATGTGTGTGTGTATATATATATAATTCTGGAATCCTCCACAGTGACTTGTAAAAAGGAAGTATTTGATGAATGAACATATAAAGATGAATATATTTATCTTGGATATTAACATGTACCCAGAAATCTGTAATCATTATGATTGCTATTCACTATTATGATATCTACTTTGCCTGATTTCATTTCTTCAAAAAACGGCTCTTTCTCCTTGAAACGGGAGGAAAGGGCAAGAAAAATACAAAATAAGCTTGGAACATCTTGTGATGCTTGAAAGTAAGGAAGAATTTATTTCAAGAGAATTGGGTTGAGAGGAATGTCAAAAAAACACAGGAAGTTAACTTGAAGGAGCTACCAACAGCCAAAGCTGGAACAGCAAAAAATGACAGTATTCGATTTTATTCCATAGAATAAATATGCATGAGTCCATGCAGAAAGGATAACTCTTCATAACAGAATAATTCCAACTAATAAATGCACAAGAAATGAGAACAGAAAATCATCATTAGGCAAACATCACAAAACTTGCTGTAATCAAGATCCAGTGACGGATTTAAAATTGGTGCATGAAAGTCTGAGGAGAAATAAAATATTTGCATAGTCTCAAAATAACTCCTCCATAAAATTATTAATTACAAAGGGAAAAATACTGAATTTACAGCAAAGAAACCCAGCCAACACCACCTCCACAAAGTGATCAAGGTTAACATCATCAAAAATAAGACATACGGATATCACGTTCCCTCTGATACAACGCACTAAGAGAAGTACACCACCGCTTCTAAAGGATTCTTCCCAAAAATGTTTAACCTCAATCTTATCATAAGATACCTTCCAACAAACTCAAAATAAAAGATATATTACCAAAAAAAAAAAAAAATTGAACAGTACTCTTCAAAAATGTAAAGGTCACACATTCATGTCCTTCAGACAAGGACAGACTGAAGAAATGCAGGAGAATGGAGGAGACTATAGAGACATGACAACTAAATGCAATGTGTGATTCTGGACTGGATCCAAGAACAGACAATTATTAGTGGAAAAACTGGTAACATTTAAATAAGCTTGTACTACAGTCAATAATATATCAGTATTAAATTCCTTGTTTTTTGGAAACGTATTAGGGCTATAAAAGATGTTAACTTTAGAGAAGCTGGGGATTTCCGTATTCTTTGTACTATTTTTGCAACTTTTATTTACATCTAAAATTATTCCAAAGTAAAAAGTTAAAAATGAAGTACTATAGAGATGCATTTGACAATTAATAAAAAAAGCTCTAAAAAATTACCACCCTCTGAATATCTATTACTAAATTTATTTAATCCATAGCAGATAACTTTGCAAATGGCAACTATACTTAAAGTTTAAGTAGAAAAACAAAAATACAGCCTTATTTATCAACTCTGTTATCATGACATTAGAAATTTTACAAACTAGATATTCAAGATCTTATTCTTTAAAAATCAAAATCTCACAAAATAATCTGCTAAAAATATGATTCAAACACCATTTGAGATACAAGATGTAATTTATTCAGAGTTGCAATTAAAGCTAGGAAAAGCTCTGGTCAGATTAATAATGTTGACAATAAAACAGAAAAAAGTAAAAACCAAACTGAGTCAAATTTTTTAGTCTGTGACATTAGCAATCGGTCAGATTATAATAAACAAATAAGGGTCCATTTGGGGCGGAAAAAATCACATTTTGGTATTTTTGTTAGTTGTTTTGAGCTTTGCATTTCAGAATCCTCTCATGACTCATCCACAAAGTGAGTAAAGTGATTTGGATTGTGCTTAAAAGCCCTTCTACCTCTATTTTCTAAGAGTAAGTTTTCCATGACTCTACCCTGACTGCCTCACGTAACAAAACAGTCCTAGGCAAGCATAAGTTTTATTCCTGGATTTCAAAATTCAATGTAAAACTAACATATTAAATTTTCAAAAACTTATAAACTTTTTTGCACATATGCTTCTCCCATGGAAACACTTTAAAGTATGAACAGAAATAAACTGAATGATTTTCTCCTTTGTAAAGTTTTTAATAATCAAATCTATTGGTTACCATAACAAATTCAGTAAGTTAACTCATTTGTTAAAAGAAAATCAATCACAATGAAAAGTGACAGAAAAAAAATCCACAACTTTTAAGAAAAAATTTTTAAAACAACAAAATCAGTTCTGATAACAACTTGAATTTGATTTCTAAAAAGCCATGAATTAAAAAATAAACACTAATAATTCAGAATATTTATCCATAAACAACTATGAAGGCCTAAACCTTTGTCCATATTAACAGTATAAACTGTATTCTCTTAATGTATGTTTCTATACATGCTATACAAGAAAATGTTTTTATATATGCAAGCTCCATGTGGTCACATTGTCAATCAATATTCACATCAAAAATATATAAACCTCAGAAGAAAATGAAAAAGTTTGTTTAAAAACCTTAAGACAGTGTGAAGCTGATTTAATCTGAGCCTAGTTATTTCAGAAATCTGTTTAGCACAGGTCACCAGAATTCAAATCAGATACTGCCTGATATGAAACAGCACATTTTCCCAAACTTCTACACATCAGAATCACCTGGCTATCTTTTAAACATTCAAAAACCCAGGTGCACTATCAGGGTTCTCTCTAGCTAGCCCTGTCAAACAGTTCGAGGAGGCTGAGATTACCCACCTCTGACACCAAATTGTGTGGTGGCTAACAAACCTCACCCCACATGACAGCTGCCATCGTTTGGAAATCTTAACTTCTCTTCCCTGTTCAGTTCAGACCCCAGCTGCTCCATGCAGCCCTTTCTCTCTCATCCCCATTCACCAGGGGCTAGGCTGGCAGATATCTGGGCCCCTTCTGTTTCTTAGGTCCAATAATCTATTGGAATGGCCCACCTTTAATCTAGCAGAAGAAATGATACACACACATACAGTGAGATCCAGCGGGGGTGGGGGAGGGTCTCAGCACAGAGCTTCCTGTCCCGAAGGGATACTCAAGATGCTTGCTCTCTCCACTGAGAAAGCTCCACTGAGCCTCTATCTTCCAAGGCCTTTACTGGCCTCAATACGTAAAGTGATAGAGTACATCAATACCTCCTGAGGCTTAGTCAGCATGGGCTCCCCAGGTGGTCCCTCTTGGTCTGGTCAGCCCCCACTCATTGTTCTCAGGTGTGATCCGCTCTCAAGAACCAGGACCAAATGCCATATTGTCTACTACAAGGGATTCCACACTTCCCACCAGATCACACCCAGACCAATTAAATCACAATCTCTGATGGTGGGACATAGGCTTCAGTGTTTCTTGAAATTCCCCAGATGATTCCAAAGCACAGGCAAGTTTGGAAACCACTATACTAAAACCATATGCATAGGTTCCAAGTTACGCTGCACTAGCCGGCTTTTTTTTTTTTTTTAAATAAATGTACAATGTTCTCTCATAACAACTATAATAAAAATGACTAAGGCCTCTGGGGTCACTATAAAAAATTATCTAAAATAAGTAACACCTAAACACAATAGGGAACACTGGTGGCACAGTGGTTAAGCACTTGGCTGCTAACTGAAAGATCAGTAGTTGTAACCCATCATCTGCTCCCTGGTGGATTACAGCCTTGGAAATCCTATGGGCAGTACTGTCCTATAGGATTGCTATGAGTTGGAATCACTCAACGGCAAGAGGTATGGTTTAGGTTTTTTTAGACACAAAAAAATAATAATACCTAGAAATTTTTATTCCAAATTCAAACTGTCTTTTGGTTTCTTAGGTATGTATTTGTATATTAAATAAGCATTTACATTAAATATCTCAGTACAGTTTGGTTCCTAAGGGTTTTCTTTTAATTTAGTTGGTGTAAAATAAATTTAATTTTCACCATTTTGAGGAAGGTAAACCAGATTACTTCAGGGAGACGTGATTTGGGGACTGGTTTTAAAGATTTTTAAATTTCATTAAAATGTGTGACAACTTTATTTTAATCATTGGTTTTATAATGCTGAACATCTTTTTAAAAGCAATGATTCACAGAATGCAGACTTCTTTCTACTAGAATAAAAATATTTTTAAAAGATTCTACTGTTTAAAAATACAAAGAAACTAGAGGAAAAACCCTTCATCCCCAGAGGAAAGTAAGAGTCCTAGAATTTTTTTTTAACAGAGAGGCAAGTAAAGCTCTAAAAAGCAGAGTCTTTATTGGAATGCTTCACCTGGGGTTGAAGGATAAAAAGAATTCACCACAAGCATGGAGGAGAAAAATTACATCTTTACTTTTACTAATGTTAACTATAATTTTAGCATTTCCTTTGAATATTAATGTAGGCAAAAAGCCACACAGTATTATCAGTACTTGTGATTTTTTTGGTCACTAATAGGAATCACAGGGCACACTGCAATTGTTACAGATACCGCAATACTATTACCTTCAAATTCTGGCAGTTATCAGATATGCTGCTATATCTTGTTAGTAGATTTTAAAGTACATATATTAATATATCATAAATGATAACCATTTCAAAATAACTGGTTTCCTTTGCAATTCTATGTATTTTTATTTTATGTACATTAAAATATTATTCTGAGACAGCGTGCATAAACTTCACCATATTGAGAAGACTCCATGGTGTAAAAAAGGTTAAGAATTAAAAAAAAAGTTAAGAATTTGATTTAATAAAATCCATTATAATCATATTATATTTGATTATAATATAAAAATCATTCTGCAGCAAACTCTGTAATTAGATTTCTGAATAACAGTATTTTTAAAAATCTGTCAATATAACACCAAACTTAAGAGTGGATTTTATATTACTTATATCCATTTAACAGGCAACTTTCACATGACAAAACTAATGTAACTACTCTATAAACCCTGTTAGTCATCTTTGTGGTTTTCATTTGGATTATTTTCCTCACCTCTATTTTGTTATACTATTCTAATATCAGTAACAGCATTGTTTTATCATTTGAAAAAAACAATCATCTAAAATAACTATCTGCATAAAGAGAAATGAAGTCCTGATGTATATGCCACAACATGGATGCACCTTAAAAACATCAAGTTGAGCAAAATAAGTCAGTTTAGAAAAGACAAATACTGTATGATCTCACTTACATGAAATAAGCAAATACACAAAAATCAAAAATGATTAATGGTTGGGGGGGTAAGAGGAAGTTTATGCTTGGGGGCATTAAGTTTATGTTAATGGTGGTAGAATGATTTGGAAAAGGATAGTGAGAATGGCTGCACAACTTTAAGAATGTAATCAATGTCACTGAATTGTATATGTAGAAATTACCAAGATGGCATACGTTTTGTTAAGTATATTTTCACCACAAAAAAAAGAAAAGATCTGGAAAGAAATTCGATCTCTTCAATGAAAGCTAAGATAACAAGCAAGAATACTTTCAAATGTCTACATAAAATAACATACCATGTGGCTTACACTAGATATTTACATTCTTATGGCTTTTACTAAACAAAGACACTAATTAATTCAACTTTGGTGCCCTGGACATGGCTAAGCAGGTAACTGCATTGGGGTACAACATTTTTAATGGCAATAAGACATCTAATTTTGAGTTCTGAAGTTTTCAGTTCTTACCTTGAAATGCTAGAACACAATTGACTGTTGATCCTTCTACATAATGTTCAGGCATAGGGGACCATAAAAATGTATAATAATCACGAGCAGTACTCCATCCAACCTAAAAGAAAACAATAAATAAGAGGGCAGGTTATAAGTAAACAGTTCAATATTAAACTGATATCTTATATTGTTTTTTATTGTATCCTAAAGTTAAAATAGGAGCCCTGATGGTGTAGTGGTTAACAGCTCAAATCCACCAGCTGCCCCTGGGAAACCTTCTGCGGCAGTTCTACTCTATCCTAGAGGGTCACTATGAGTTAGAAGCAACTTGATGGCACCTAACAACAACAACAAAGTTAAAAGATGCATTTACTATGTTTACAAATCATGAGTATTTTAACAAGCATGTCAAATTTCATTATAATTTTTTATTAAGCTATAACCAGGGCTTCAAACTGGTACGAACTGGTTCAGTCATGGCAGACAGAGCGAAACCAGAACAGACCCAAATTTTGAAAGTCTGGGTTATCTGGAACCGTAACGGGGAACGGGAAAAATTACGGGTCAAAGTGCTGGAACAGGACACTTGGAAGAGGCATAGTGAGCTCTTTCAGGAGCCTGATGTGAGAAACTGGATCACTGCGAGGACTAAGGAGAGCGACACACATTCAAAGTGACGCGCTGTCGGCTGCCATCTTTCACCAGTTCACCGCTATTTCCGACTGCGCAAAATCCAACAGGCAAGTGATTTGTTCCTGGTGTTGCTTTTCTTCCGCTTCTTTTGATTTCTTCCTTACCTCTCACCACCTCCACCACCTCTTGCTCAAATACCTGGCTCCGAGCGCCATCTTTGCTTCTCCCTGAGGGGCTGCAGAGCTCCGCTCGAGTGTGGAACTGCTTCCTGGTCTGTGCTGCCATGCTGGAGGGATCCCAGGGCTTTTTTCGGTTTGGTTCTTTCTGTTATTGAGTTGGGAGCCTGATCTGGCCAGGCGGTGCTGTGCAGCTTGTGACCTAACCCCTCAGCTTGCGCAGACACACAGAGGATCCCTGAGAGCATTTCTTTTTTCATGGGTTTTTTTTTCTGATTTTTTTGGGGAGTTTTCTTGGTTTTTTTTTTATATTTGTTTTGTTTTCTTTTCGCTCTTGTTCCCTTTTTGTCTTTCTTCATTACTCAGTTTCTCGTCTCTCTATACCTTCCTTCTCTTCCTGTTCCCTGGATAACTGGCACTGAATACCTCTACACCTCCTAGCCAGGCTGTACTTCAACACCTGCGAACAACTCCCCCAGACCTTGTAGCCACACCAATGGGATCCCTGGGGGCTTTGCTGTTCTTTTTTTCTTTCTAATTTTTATTTATTCATTCTTTTCTTTTTTCCCCTACTTCTTCCCCCCTTTTTGTTTTTCTCCGTTTCATAGTCTCTCATCTCTCCACTCCAACAGCAAGCTCCCCTACCACTTTTTTGTTTGTATGTTTTTGGATCCTGTTCCTCTCTCCTCTCTCCCATACCTATCTTACCTTCACACATCACAATCTCTCCCCTCTATCCTGCCTACCTGCACCATGTGCTTAACATCACACCATCAAGCAGCACAGTCACAGCCTACCGGAACCTACCCTGCACTGATTACCGACCTGCCCCGGTGGCTGTAGTAAGTGCCACAAACAACCCATCCAAGCACCTCCTCTTCAGCTAGATCTGCCCTGCTGTACCATATCTGAGCAACTGACCTGCCAATTGGAGAAGGAGGCAAAAAGTACCGTGCCCACAGACGAGCAAACGACAAAGAACACACAGCCCACCTGCTCAGAAACAGCCAAAAAAAAAGGGACGAAACAAACAAATCTACAATCAATAAATGAGAAAAATAACTACTGGATGCCCCGAAGACAGCAGACAATATCAAAACATTTATAAAAAACAGGACAGGACGTTTCCAATAGGTGTCCAAAATAAAACACCAGATGATTTTCCAGTAGAAGAAAAGGCACTAGAACTACCTGATAGGGAATTCAAATCTCTAATACACAGAATTATCCAAGAGTTGAAGCAAAAAGCAGACAAAAATGAGGAAAAAAACAGACAAATTCATGGAAAAAGGAGACAAATTCATGGAAAATACAGACCAAAAAATGGAGGAATTCAGGAAAATAATGCAGGAACAAAATGCCAAAATAAATTCACAACTAGAAATTATACAAAAACAACAATTAGAAATCCAAAAGAT